TTGACAAATTTCAATGATTTTAGAACTCTGATTCCATTCAAAAACGTAGTTTGAGTATGTTAATGTTTTGTGTTGTAGGAACGTTCCAAGAATACCACACCAGATTGATCTCAGCAAGAAATATATGTCTCTCTCATACTACAAGTATAAATACTCTATTAACCCAAAAGAAGTTAAGCTTCGAACAACTGCTTCGCAGAACCAAACATATAAGTTCTAAACAAAAATGATAAAAATAAAAATATTACGACATTTACGCCTCGAATATTTTATACGCTGAACATTTCTGTGTATACGGTACCTCAAATTTGGAATAAAGATCTGAAATTTTGGACACGAACCGCCAATATCCGACTACTATAGCATATATTCGCCATACAAACCGATCAAAATTAAGTTCTTATGTGGATACCTTTTTATTTGAAAAGATTTCTTCACGAAATATAGTAGTTATAATCTACATTAGACATTAAAGGATATTGTTATTGTTAGAGCGGCAGAATTCTTCTTTGTTGACAGGCCTTGGCCAGATAAAAATCCGGATCCGTTCCGGTTACGTAGACACGACTGCCGTTGGGTCCTCTGACTAACCTGCACTCAAGGTTTAACAAAAGTTTTTCCGAGCTTCAAAAATGCTTAAAATTACTTACAGAAATATCGAGAGTGGTCGTGCAGATCTGATTTGGCAGCTGATGTTATCTTCAAATTAAAAATGTTATGTCTGTTAATGGAAATCATTCGTTATATAAACGTAAAGAGTCAATGACATCTTCTATTTTTCATGAGACCGAATTTTTATATTTATTTTTAATTTTTCAAACTCTCTCTTCGTGTATACGCCCTTCTGTCTTGCGAAAGACTTCGTCGAATGTGATTAGAAAATTCGATTTCGTGAAATACCTTTGAGTACAGAGTCCGTCATCATTGCCACATTCTGCAGTTAATACGTTGTTGACCCACTTTAGACACCTGTTAATAAAACTACACACGGAAAATAGAAACTCATGGAAAGTACGTGATCCACAAGCATTCTAGATTTTTCCATATGCAAATGCATTTCAGAATAACCATAAATACACCATTAGGTTTCCGATGACAGCTGATGGATATCTGAGTGCCTAATGGGATTATGTAATGCAATGTCGTCAGGTAACTTAATGTCGTCATACGAAATGACAAGCGATACGAAAGTGCAACATTTTTATTGAGTTAAGCAGCACATGGAATTTGATTGGGATTTATTAGTGTTGGTGTTCAGATATACTGTATTTGTGTGTAAAAAAATGTAGGAAAGCAGTGTTAGTTGCAATAAACAGGGTGACACAGGTTTGGTAAAACCATAGCAGACTTTTTTTTTTAATATTTTTTTTTTATAATTTAAGGTTATCTCGAAAGCTTACTTTCCTTGCTGATTATATTTTTATTTCGATATAAATTTCGCAAAAATTTTAAAAATATAATTTTACCAGGGAATATCGCCAACTTTCGAGATCGTTGAACTTGAAAGCCCGACTTCTCCTTATTTTCGTGGAAGAAGGTGTAACGGTCTTCAATAAATAAAATAATTGCAAAATTACGAAAACTTCAATGTTCTCATGCACTTTCATAACACTTTGTTTCCATCATTTCTTTGACAAAATATTAATCTTACAATTATATATTTTTTTATGCTGAACATATACGATACGCACCCCGTTACTTTTTGTAACCCTATATCAGTTGTGCACATATGGAATTTTTCAATACTCGGTGTAGGCTACAGTGACTATGCTAGCTCATGTGTGAATTCTGAACAGATATTTTGATATCAGCATTTTTTTGTACTCGAATTTCATTTCAATGCCACTTGGCTGGCAATTACAATTCCACTTCCACTTTCAAACAGTTTTTTTTATGCCTACATCACCCAAATATATCATACATAAGTATGTACATTCATACGTAATGTGCTAAATTTGCAGTTATCAGCATTTTAGCACCAAATTACGCATAAACATTGACTTTGGAATTTTTCTAAGTGAATTTCTCTTGGTCCACTTTATGCCTTTCGTAGCTCTTGGTCGAATTTCCTGTGTAGCAACCGCGTTGATAAGCTAAAAGTGTTTTATTATTGTTATTATTTATTATTGTTATTATGAAATTACCTACACGCATTTTATCGGCTTGGATTAATGCGTATTGGGAAAACCATTTACGGTAAAGTTGTTATGAAGCTTTACTTCGCATTTCTAGCGCGATAAATGCGTGGCACTCAAGCCACAGGCAAATTTTTTTTTGCATTACTTTGTAGCCCGCTTTCTTATAGCCTTTATTTTTAACATAAAACTAACTCTCAAAAAAAAAAAAAAAAAAAAAAAAAAAAAAATCAAAAAAAAAAAAAAAAACAAAAAAAAAATTGAAATGGTCAAATATTTTTAAATTAAATGGATTATGGTAAAGGACGACCATTTTTTATCTTTTTCCAGTAAAATCATTGTAATTTGCTTTTCGTCGAAGATTTGCAATTGACTGAAGCTTCCTCACAAGCGGCAACTAATGAGTTCACGAATGCTTTCATTTAGTCTGCATTTATGTTCATAAGTTCTACAACGTGGTTAATGGCTGCTGATAAACCCAACGAAGCTCGACTTTTACACAAAAATAGTTAGTAGTTATTTTTGTAAAATTACCAACTACCCACTTAAAGATATAGTGCCAAAACATTGCATTCTGTACAATCTTATAAACTTTAATTCAACTCTCCGGGTAAATGATAATTGAAAAAAAATATATATTATATTTTGCTAAAATATCGAACAAAGAATTTGACTAAAATTTGTTTATTTCTAACCAAATGTCATGTGGGAAATTGTTGAGAACGTTGATAAAGGCTCATGGTTTTTCAAAAAGTGTACTCTTTGTGAGCGAATTTAAAGTCAAAAACGCATGAATGCCATCGCCCAACCACCGTATTCATCATATCTGGCCTCGTGTGATTTTTTCTTGTTCCTCAAACACAAATTGCCGCTTCGTGGAACAATAAGATACAAAAACTTCGCTGAAGGAAGCCAACCCAAAAAGTGCTTAGGAAAAGTGTTTCGCAGACTGGAAAAATTGTTGGCGTTAATGTTTTACATCTGGTGGGATTTACTTTGAACGCGACAAAATAAATATTTTGCGTTTTATTTACAATATCCGGTTACTTATTTGTCACAATTAATTTTAGTTTCGATATAATATTATTGTAAGACTAATCAAGTAATTGGACTCGACAATATATAAATAAAGCAGTTAAAATATCGATACAAACTTTGCTTATTTTTCGAAAAATCTATGAAGCCATATTGTTGTTTTAGCGAAAGAAAAAATGTCTCACGGCTTGAGAAATGCTGCAGAGTGGACAGTCCGTTGCCTGATAAAAATTTAATGTTTATTCTTGTATATTTATTATTTCTTAATGATTATATCTTTAAAATTTTGGCCGCGGTTACGTCTCAGATCTCGAATTTTCGAAGACTCGTTCGAGCATTTATACTGGTAACTGCCAAATGACGCAGGTGAGATTTTGCTCTGAATCGAAGAATAGATTTTTGACTTTTCATAATCTCACAGAAAAAAATTTAATGGTATGATATCGCACGATTTTGGTGGCCAATCGAACGGCCCAAAACGCGAAATTATCTGTGTGATGTGAAGTGGTGTCGTTTTTTTGAAACCAAATGTTGCCGAGATCACGAGCTTCGATTTTAGGCATCAAATAGTCGGTTACCATAGCGCGATGACGGTCGTCATTGACGATTACGTTTTCACCGGTAGCTTTTTTGAAGAAATATGGACCGATGGGCAATGGTTCCACCACCCCACAAACCAAATCAAACCGTTTTGTTTTTTTCTGTATAAAATTTCAGCCTCTTCAATTTCTTCAGGTTACTCTTCATTCCATATGCGGCATTTCGCTTGTTTACATACCCATTGAGCCAGAAATGGGCTGCACAAAATTTGGCTTGAAAACGTCGGATCTTCTTGGATTCATTCAAGAGCCCATAGAGCGAAGCGTTGTCGCTTGGGAAGGTCGAGCGGCCTTAATTCTCACAGAAGTTGTATTTTGTACGCTTTCAATTTAAGATCTCGACGTAAAATGCGCCAAGTCGTTCCATACGTAAGTCCGAGCTGCTGGGAACGTCGCAGAATCTACTATCCACGGTCTTCGTGTATATTCTCGGCCACGGCTGCTATATTTTTATCACTGGACGTAGTCTATTTGATCGACTGTTATCTAATAATGAATGCTGCGTCTGAGGATAGGTGAATGAGTTGCGATTAGTACGCTCAGTATGTCGGTTAGGTTGACCATAAAAGTGAGTGAAGTCGTTGCAACTTTTTTATAAATTTCGAATACATTTCGAATTATTTCACACGCCTTTTGTATTTATAAATATATTGTGCAGAATTAGCTCTTTCTTAATTTTTATATTTATTATTATATTTAAATCAGTTTTATTTAGACATTATCTTATCTTTTTAAAATTTTTAATCCCTCGTATTTTAAATTTTTTATTATTATTATTGCAAATACCACTCCTTAAAACTGATATTAATAGCCCCAATGACAAATATCTACCATAATTAAAGAATACTAAAAAAGTGTCCCACGCCAAGTACCGTTCAACATAACTGTCATACATATCGTATAGCAGATTTTGCAAATACTCCCATGCACAAACACATGCGTAGCGTAATCGGAGAATATATTTACAAAATGATAAGCTCTCATGCACAAAACCACTTGTGTCAACGATCAGTCGCTCGCTAATTGAAAACGGAAATACTCGTCACCGAATCAGAGGAAAAATATTTATTATCCGAGGCAAATTGTGAAAAATTTATTTGCTGCACTAAATTTATGCAAAATAAATTTAATAATAGTGAAATGCTTATATTAAATATATAGAGAAATATATAATTTTTTTTTGTAGAGTGCGCTTTATGAAAGTGGCACATGGAATTTTGCTCATTAATAATTAGTATCCTTGAAAATGCTCCAAAAATATATCGCTCTCTATATGGTGAAGCGGTATACATACATATATATACGTATATATATATATATGTGTATGTGTTATTCAGGTGACATGAAACCGGCGTAGAAAATTTGCATTACTAAAACATTCACGCAGCGCACAATAGATGGAGAGTAGTAGGCCCAACACGCCGATGACGAATACGAGCGGTGTGCCGAGCAATATCATCACGAAGAGTTTTACATCGCCACATTTGGCCAATGTCATCCACCAGAGCACGCGGCGCGCTGTATTCCGCATCAAAATACAACTACGCCAACAACCATAGCTGCTGTTGCTGAAACGGAGCAGGGTGAACAGCATCAGACGCAACAACCACAGCGTCCAGACGCAGGCTCGATACAACAATTCACTTGTGCGCTGATAATAGGAACTCTTATAGATGCTGCTCGTGAATGCTGCGGCTTGTTGGCGTCGCTTGGGGCTCAATAAACGATCGCCATAGTAGATGAGCAGTCGCCGTAGCTGCCGCTCAATGCCACTACTTTGGTACGCATTGCTACGCTGTGGCGGTTGATAAGCTTCCAATTCGCGTCGGTACTCGGTGTCCGAATCGGTTTCCACCAGCTCCAGGCGGCGTTGCTGTGTCTGCGGCTGCAGTGTTGGCTTGCTGCCGAACATGCTGAGATCGCCCTCATAGTTGCCATTGTAACAGATGACGCTGCCCAATGTCGTCGGTGACATCCCTCGTGCGGCACTAAGCGAATAGAATGGAAAATTAGTTGATATCATATAATCATTGAAATTTTTTTTTGTGTTGTGCTGTGAATTTGTGGTTTGTTCTTATCACCGTCGTGCTGTGTTGAAGCAAACTCCGCTGCCGTTGCTCATGTGTGGTGCGGCGCTTTGTGCCGCCAATAGTGGCACGTAATTTAAACCATCATTGTATGTGTGCATTGCAGACCGAGGCTTCTAAATTTTCGCTGATATCTCCAAATGCAAAATAAAGCAATCAGCTGCTATTTTTTTTAGTAAAATATATTGTTTCTTTTGTTTGTTTTTAAGTATCCGAATTATTTTTGTTTTGAAATATTGTGTGTACGTTTTTAACTGTATTCTCCAAGCCTTGTTGTTTTTTTTTTCATTTCTCGAATAAATAGAGTTACCGTGCATCGATATTTAAAAAAAACAAGTCTCGAAGTTAATAATAATAATGCATAAATGTAAAAAGTAGTTTCGACATTATCTTGATTGTCCTTTACCGTCTAATCAATTTTATCTAGACTGACAAAAAAAACACCATTTTCGGTATTTCAATGCAAATCTTCATTATCGCCTTCAAAATAGTCCTCTTTTGGGCCAAGCCAATTTGTGCCACTAAGTGTCTAGCTTAGTATAAGGCACGGCTCTGATGATCTTCAGTGAATTTTGTTTTGGTTTTGCGGTTTCAGCTCATTTTTGAAGCGCCATTCACTAGATTGTTGAATATTTTCGACTCCATATTCATAAATCCACGCTTCGTCAATTATGAGTTTGATTGGTGTGAGTTCTCAGCTACGTTCTCAAACATCTCTTTTGCGACGACTACTGGACGTCGTTTTTGCAAAAGATTCTGATTTTTGAAAGAGTGTAGCTTTGACCCTCAAAATATTAGCCAAAAAGGGTAGATCCATAAGAAATGCTGTTACGTCATTAATGATGACTTCACATCCTTCTCTGGATGCTTTACGGTGCTTAAATTTGGTGCTCGTGATAAACTAGACTCACCTTCAGCTTTTTCAACAATTCCTTTGCCGAGATTCCATAACAAACACAAAATCTTTAGCAAACTCGTTGTTAAACTTTGTCACATTATAAAAATCACCCGAAAAACATTTTAATTGTCTTTTGGAAATCAAACTTCAGACGAACATAAAAAAGTTGTACCAAAATACCGAAAATACCATATCGATTCGGTTTGATCTGTCCGAGTCAAATTTGTTCAGATGATATATCAAATCCGCAAAAGTGTACCTAGAATAAAAGAATAGAAAATAATGCAATATCTCTTCTAAGTCAGTTATGTGTTCGATTCGCCACCCGGCAAATTTTGGCGAATAGAAACCAGCGAGTCTACTTATCGATCTAACGAGACGAGACTTATTTTTGCCTATGATGTGGACTTTGTGAAGATGTTTCATAACTTTTGGGTTCTTACGTTATTTAAAACAAAAGTTCTTAAGTCTAATGACTAATTTTCATAGATTGTTTGTTGTGAATCATATCTTTGGAAATTTCCGCCGTCGATGCATAAATAACAAAATCGTCCTGAAAATTTTTTCACCAGTTTTCAGTAATATCAGCAATTAAAACACAAATTTTGGCCTACCTGTAGGCATATTAGGTTACATCGTAGAGTTAATTCTCATAACAAAGGTAGCTCAGTTCCCTCAGTTCCTTTTTGATACCCAATACTCTTTGATATGGATTAGCAGACGATTTTAGTTCGACGAAGCGTTTTAAGCTCACCACAAATTTGCTAAGCCCGCTAATTTCAATCGCAGCGTCTTCACAATGATTACTAAGGTGTGTCTACTGAGATATTTCAACTTCATCCTGGAAAAAGTGGACAACATAGGAGAATAAAATTGATTCCGCCTCACCTTCCTTCATATTTCTTTGTCAAAATATATCCATAATTTGGACAGTTTCCGGTCAGAACAGTTGCAATTGTGTCAAGAAAACTTAGCTTAGATAAAGTAGTTAAGAGAACCTCTTAAAAACCACTCTGTAGTGGCACTATAGTGACCAAAAAGGAATCTATTTCCGATTTAATAGAATTAAAATTAAATTTTTTCTCGAAGAGTTCAATTCTTTGTCTTAACGCATGATAAAATTTTATTTATTTACTAAGTGCTCCCAAACTTAAAAAATAAAAAATAATGCATATTCGAAAAAACTAAAAATAAAAAAGAAAATATTTGGTTATTATTTCAAATAAAGTACCCATTTCATAAAGAACGAATGATTTAAAAACTTTTAAGTAAAAATAAATTTGTTTATGTAGGCAAAGTAGGCTATATTCACTTTACGTACTTTTCCGCATGGTTAAACATGTATTTATATCGCAAAAAATATCAAATCGTTGTTAACGGGATTTCCGAGCGGTTTTCTAACATCAATAAGCAAATTTTATATCCCTTCTGAACAAGTACTTTTATTAACAGGGAATTTACCAGTTAACACGTTTAGCACTTGCTACTGTTATCTGCAATCACCATGTACTTTTTAATAAAATTAGACATGTTAACAAACACATATGTACATATGTCACAGTAGTGAATAAATAAATTAATGCCTGTGTTATTTTCACTTTTTCTTTGCAGTTGCATGTTATGCCAGTGTGTGAGTGCTGCCGACAGCCGCCCATTGAATCATCAACGCGTTTCTAAAGCCAGATAAAATCTGGAACTATGCTGCAAATAATTTAATCATCTGGAGCAATTGCGACTTTTGCGACTATATCACCGCACTGCTAAGTTAATATATAAATATACATACGCATATATAGTCGTGTATGTGTATGTACGCCTATATAATATTTATATAGCATCAGCGTCAATCTACTTTTCGTTCTTCGCTATCAAAACATTAGCGCATCCGCCAAACGCTCAACGCAAAATGTCCGCAATAACAGTAACTTATTGCAAATTATTTGCACAACTCTTCACACTCTTGAGCATAATCAACATTGTCTATTCGAATGATATGCTAGTCAGTCTATCTGAGGGCTTGGATGGACCCAATGTCTGCAAGAAGCGTGAGAAGTGAGCATAGCATACATTCTAATTAAAAATGATTCAGTTTTTTTTTTTTTTTTTAATATTTACAATATTTCACTTGCAGTTATCCCGTCGAAGTGACAACCACCGAATTGCAATCATATCAGGAGCGTCAAACGGTTTGGTGTCTCAATGTGCCGCCGCGTTGCTCCTCATATCAAATCAAACATCGTACGGTTAATAAAACGCGTACGCTTATGAAAACACGCATTGTGCGCGCTTGCTGTGGTGCGTATATTAGAACTAATGTTGTACTCAATTAATATACGTATGTTTTAAAATATGCAGAAATGTACAAAAAGGTGAAAAAGACCCTCGCAAAATACCCTGCCATGATGTAAATTTTCATGAGCCATTCAGAATTGTAGACAAATGTTAAAAATATACTCATATAATTCTATGAGCTATGCATAGGGGGTTAAGTGACTCATAGATGATGAAATTTTGAAAAATTTTAATACTTAAAGCTTAATCCTAATTTATAGGCGCACTTATAAGAAGTGCTCACCTCATTTCAAACAAAACATCGTACCCTAAGTTATAGACGATACGAAAAAAAAAAATCTCGGAAGCTTTAATAACATATGTCGACATAAAGGTGTCGTCAAACTTCGAATTCAAGTTTCAGCATTATTTTTAGAAGGTTGGAAAAACGAAAAAATAATCCAATCTAGACTAAGCAGCGAACTGTTTTGTGAATCAGTTACACACAGTTTAGAGATTTTGAATATCTTTTATAGCTTTGTCAGAATCGTACCAAAACTAAAATGAAAGCACTACTCTTGGAAAAAGGAGTTTAATGATAAATGCTAAAACGTTAATAGTCAGCATAAGGCCGAGTTTGGCGCTTAATATCTCGCAAATCAACATGCTGTCGATGCAATACTTTATATCACGTCTTTCTAGTTATGTATTATATATATTAGAAATATTCAACAAAAAACCGGGTTTCAAGTAAATTTACACAATTTGAGTTATTCTAACAAATTTATTCGAAACTCAACGGTTTCCTTTACCTCCAACCATAACTCATAAACGGCAGTTTCTGATTACGGTAAATCCTTATCCTCGGATCCAATATAAATATTCGATATTATATCAGGAAAATGCTTTTCAACACCGTAATATTCCTTCTAACAATTTCAAAAATGTTAGCTTCCGCTAAAGCCACTAAAACTTTGCTTACTTGAACCAATTCGAGTTACATAGCTTTAAGAGATATTTACCAGATATTTAGCATAAGCGTAAGCGTACATGCATATATGTACATAAATTACAAGTAAGGTAATCTGTTTCCAGCAAGTCGTTGAATCAAATTAGCTTTCGAAATATTAAAATAAATATCTAAATGGTAGAAAAACCCTTGTTTTATTACTAAAATTCCGAATGTAATAGTTTACCTATTCTATTATTAAAATATTTGCCTTGGTGATCAGAGGAATTCCTCTAACATCATGTGAGAAATCACAATTATTTTCCTCAGTGATCACTGAGGTACAATTTAGACTAATTAAACAATTTATAACTCTTGTTATTAAAATTATTTAGTTGTTAAGCAATTTGCTTTAAGCTAATTATTCTAAAGGCTGATCATTTCGAGGTTAGCTACTTGTAAAGAAAAAACACAAAAACTTCAAATTGAATATTGGCTTTGAAACCTGATGTCGCTGAGATCACGAGCTTCAATTTCAAGCATCAAATATCATCATCATCAATATCAAGCATCAGGTTATCATGGTCCGAAACCGTCGTTATCTCACCGGCAGCTTTTTTGAAGAAATATGGACCGATAATTCCACCGACCCAGAAATCAAACCGAGTAGTTTGGTAGTTTTATCCCATATACGGCATTTTGCTTGTTTACATACTCATTAAACCAGAAATTGGTTGAAAAAAAATTGGCTCGGATCTTCATGGAACTTTTAAGGAATCTATAGAGCAAAGCGATGTCGTTTAGGAAGGTCGAGCTGTATTTTGTATGCTTTCAATTTAATTTTTCGACGTGAAATTCGCGAAGTCGTTCAATCTATTCGATCGAATAGTATCCAATAATGAATGATGGATCTCAAGATGGGTGACGGTGTTGCAAATAGTACGCTCGGTATGCCGATTATATTGAACATAAGTTGAGAGAAGCATGCGAAACACATTCTTTACAAAAAGTGAATTTTCGCAATAAAGATGAACTTTGTTCAGACGTTAGTCTTTTCATGATGAAATGCCAAGCAATACTGAAAAAAATAA